CCAAGCCCAAGGCTTTCCATGGTACTATACAACCCTTAGGAAAATCGGATATTCTCTTGCTACACACTGCCAGAGGAAAAATTCTGGGATTATTTTCATACCAGATCAGACAGACATATTAGAAATAGAAATTTCTGTTTGTATTAGAAGAATTTGGTTGTTAGTGTGAGAAACCAAACTGTATGGGATAGGAATGGTATTTGGCTAATGATAATTGAAACCTGAAAAACAAGGGCTTAAACAAATTAAGCCCGTTGGCAGACAAGGAAACAAGAGATGGGAGTACAATGGCCAAGCACAGGACAGAAGTCTGGAGGTAGGCAGAGCAGAGCTGATTCTGTCACCAGTGTCCCAGGTTTCATCTACCTTCCTGTACCACTGTCCTTAGCACGTGGCTCATGGTCACTTAACAGCTGCAGATGGCTACTGCAGTGCCATCCATCCTATCTGCGGACCAGGCAGGAAGAAGGGAAGGCTCTTAGAGGACGTCCTGCAAGCCCCACCAACGACCTCCCCATGCATCTCACCTGCCACCCCTGCCTGGAAGACTAGGAAAGGTTTTGAGCAGGGTGGGTTGCCGGCCGCCCCTCAAGGAGCAGAGGCTGCTTCAGAAGGGAGGGAGGCCAGCACAGACCTGAGGAGCCAGCACCTGCAGGCCACTCCTGGTCTGACACGACTCCGACCGGCTTAAGTAAAAATGAGAAACTGTACTACGAGGATATGGGAGGGGTGGCTCATGGAGGCAGAACACAGACCTCAGGCAAGGGCTGGAACTGGGAACTGGAAGGTTGTCAACATCCCAGTGTGTTTCCTCTGTCTCCTGTCATTGGTCTGTGCACATTGTCCTCTGCTCACAGGAGGTGGAAGACGGCCACCCTACAGGGCTGCATTTACACGTTCCAGGTTCCTCCACAAAGACCTGCTTGGCCCTCGGGGGTCATACACCCACATTGCAATGGGAGAGCCCCTACAAGGCTGTCTTGATCACATGACCACCCTGATCCAAGCAGCTGGGGCTGGGGTGGGGACTGTGAATGGGGGAGATGATTTCCAGGGAATTCTTGAGAGTTGGGAAGTCACCTCCCCCCTGCACATCTCTAGAACTCTGCTCAAAAAGTCAGGCCCTGTAGCTGTCCCAGTGATGTGGGGATTGATCTTTCCTCCTTTTTCAGCACCACACCCCTTGTTCCGCTGTAATTTGCAAAGCTGCAAGCCCTAGCTCCTTGTTCCTCCCTGCCCTGGAGGTCTGGTAACTGGGCAGAGGAGAGCCCCATCCAGGTCCTGCCCTCACCCCTTCCCGCCCGCCTGTCCTGTGCTTCCCTTCCCTTCTACTGAAACAGCAGCCGGACGTGCTGTGCTGGGGCATAGGTGGATGCAGTGATATTAATCTAGCAATTATTGATTCAGGGGGGACTTGCAGGACATATTTACATAAAAACCATAATGAGGATGGAACTTCAGCTGCAGAATTTAGATACTGTAGGCCTGTGGTCAGGGGGAGGGGAGGGGGCCAGGATGTGCTCCTAATTCAGGCCCCTGGAGCTGGGGCTGGGGCCAAACAGAGGGCCAGGTATGGGGGCTCTGAGGGTAGGTCAGACCTGGGGTGGGGAGGCGGGGAGGCCTGGGAAGGGGGTCAGGGATAATGAGGGGAGGGCAGTTGTCCTGCCATCTTAGGCGACCTTAGGGGCCGATGGGAGAAAAGCCCCAGCTCAGGTCTGGAAAGCCAGGATTTACATGTGTGCTGCACATCCCTAATTAGGTGTTCTCTCCGTCAGGGTCCCCCCAGGAAACAGATGGCACACTCCAGTTGGGAACTGTGAGGGCAGTTTAATAAAGGAAGTGTTTACAAAGGTGTGGGAAGAGGGCTAGGGAAACATATGGACTGGCTCAGTGAGCAGCGCCCTGGGGCTGCAACCAAGGCGGCAGCCCCGCCCTGGTTCAGAAGGGAGGAGAGAGCCAGCGACTTGGAAGCAGAGGTCTGCGGGGTGGGCTCTGCCCTTCTGCCAGGCAGAGATGCAGCCACGCTCACTCGCTGCCGCCTCCCTCCACTGGCCAAACGCAAACGGGGCAGGGAGGCACTGGTGCAGTCCCTGAGCATCGTGGGCCTGGAGGAGGTGAGCGGAAGCGAGTGCAAACCTGGAGGTGCGAAGGGAAGGCAGCCAGCACCAGTGTCCAAGGGCAAAAGGAAATCCCCCAGTCCCTGCCGCTCTTCCCCCAGAGCGCCATCACTACTTGAGCGCTCACTGTCTGCCAGGCACTGTTCTAGGCCTTTTAAAAGTAGTAGTAACTCCTTGGGACTCAACCCCACTGGGTCTGTGTGAAAAGAAAAAAAAAAAAGTAGTAACTCCTTTAATGCTCACAACTGCTGAGGAAGTTGATGTTGTTATTATCATCCCCATTTGGGGAAACTAAGGCAGGGCCAGGGCGCGGTTAAGAATTTTTCCCAGCATCACACGGCTAATAAGGAGACGAGCAGGGATATGACCTCGGCTTATCTGGCTCCAGAGAGCCAGCCTTGCCCTTGGGTTCGGCCCTCCCTGACCGCTATGGCCCTGTTTGAGAGGCCAGGGATTGGGGTCAGGGAAACAGGGTGGGGACGCCAAGGATGGACAGCAGTGTCACGCCCCACACAGCAGGAAGGACCCTGCCTAGCACTTTGGAAAAACTCCAAGTAGGTGACAATGAAAAATCGCCCCAGGGAGTAAGTTTGGGCCAAACTTCCCGCTAGAGGGGCTCTGCTGAGAGGGATGGTCAGGCCCTGCCAGGGAGGGGCAGAGGGTGTTCGGGTTTCAGCCTGAGGAAGGGATCAAAGAGGTGCTGTGGGGACTAATTCCCTGTGGGGTGCAGGACGAGGCAGGTGGGGAGGGAGAAGGGGGTCTGCCAGGTGCACTGGCATTGCTGGGCTACTTCCTTGAAGGCTTGCAGCCGTTCAGGGATGGGGATCACCCCATTGCACGCACATGTTGAAGACGCTTAGGCTGGAAGAAGATAATCCTACCGTAATCTTCCAGACCTGGGGTAGAGCAGGGGCAGTAGGAAGGGAAGAGAGGGGAAGGGTTAGGGGCAAAGGTCTTACAGCAGGAAGGACCCCCAGGGCCCTCTAATCCTCTGGCTGTCACCCCAGGAGAGGCCCATCACACTCAGCTTTGGATCCCTCACCTGCCAGCCCAGGACTCCACCCTCAGGGGAGGTCATTCTGATTCACCTCACCGTGGTCAGGAATCCCTAATCTAGCTCAACCTTTCATTTCATAGATGGGGAAAGTGATGCCGAGAAGGCCACTCCCTGGCTCAGGGATCTGGGAAGGAGGTCAGCAGGCTTGGCCGCAGGTTGATGGGCAGGGAAAGGAAAGAGGGGGAAGGTGATTGGGGGCACTCCAGCCAGGCCTCAGGGAACCCTTGGGCCTCCCCATACTCAAAGCTAGTTTTTTTTAAAGGTTTCTAAAATGTAAACATTTTATTGAATAGCTAATATGTTTACCTAGTCAAAAATGAAAATAATATAAAAAGGTAAATATTGAGAAGTCTTGATCATCATTTTGCTACTTATAGGTACCTGTTTAAAAATTAGTTTGGGTTTATTTTTCTAGTGTATGTTAATGCTAGCACAAGCAAATATAAATATATGTTCTTATTTTTGCCCTCTTTTTTTTATTTTTACACAAAATATAGCATGCCATTAAACTTTTCTGCACTTTGCTTCTTTCACTTAATATTCCTGGAAATTTCTCCATATCAAAACCTAGAGAAAATCTTCAGTCTTTTCCATAGCTGCATGGTTTTCCGTCACAAAGGTAGTTTCCTATCCAGCCTCCTGTTTCTGGATATCTGGTTGTTTCCTGCCCTTCTGTTATTTCAAAGAACGCCACAGTGACAATCTTGTGCGTAAGTCACTCCGGGCACGTGCAGGTGGCTCTGAAGTCTATTTTTGCTTCTCAACTATCTGTGGTGAAGAAGCAGGTTTGACTTTTCAATTTACAATCTGTCGCAGATGGATACTTATGTAAAATTCAATAAAAGTGAATTACTAGAGAAATGAATGGAAAAACAACATGCAAAATATAAGCCCAAATATTTTATTAGATTCAATACACATAAAAATTACTCTGTCAAATTACCATAAAGATTATTAAACACTGAATCTCTAATTTCTGCATTTATCTTAGGTGTTATGTGCCGCACTTTGAGAAGCACAAGGCTAGACTCCCAGAATTAGGTTGCTGGGTCGAAGGGTAAAGGCAGGGGTAGCTTTGTCAGATATCGCCGGATTTCCTGCCATGGGGGTTTTGCTGTCTTGCACACACACAGCAGTCTACGACAGGGCCCCTTCCCCACACACCCTCACGGAAAGACCGCATCATCTAACTCTAGTAGTCCCTTGTCTGTAATATGAATTGCAAATATTTTTCTAGTTTGTCATTTCCCTTGATGTTTTTTGGGGGGAGGAGAACATGCAGAAGTTTGTGATTTTAATATAGTCAAATTTATCTATCTTTTCTTTGATGGCTTTTGGATTTTGAGTCATGATTTTCCACTCCAAGGTATAAAAGATTTCGCCCAAATTTTCTTCTAGTATTTTTATGGTTTTATCCTTACCATTTAAATCTTTTACCCATTTGGAATTTTTCCTAGTATATAAGGTGTGATTTATGGATCCAAATTAATCTTTTTACAAATGGCTACTTGTTATCCCAGCTCTATTTATTAAGGTCCCTAAGATACCACTTTTACCATTAAAACTAATTTTAAACCATTTAGGATCATAATAGAAAGGGTTCTATAATTTGTTAGTTTTGTCCAGAATACTATTACAAGGGATATTAGCTTTCAAGGTATGATCTATAACTTTACATTACTAGAGCAGAGCAAACTCTGAGTAACATAAATACAATATACATTTAATTAAAAAAACCCATGGGGCTGCTTACAACCAGGAGGCAATTGAGTGAAGTGGGCACTGGCAGAGAGAGCCCTTGGTGAGACCGAGTGTTTGCATTGCAGGTCTGCTGCCCAGCCTGCCTCCGGGAGCTACAACTGCCGAGGGGTCCACCATGGTGGCTGCGGGACCCCTGGCCATCTCGCTGCTGCTGCCCAGCCTCACCCTGCTGGTGTCCCACCTCTCCAGCTCCCAGGATGTCTCCAGCGAGCCCAGCAGCGAGCAGCAGCTGTGCGCCCTGAGGGAGCACCCCACCGTGGCCTTTGAAGGTGAGAGTGGGCTTCCCACTGGTCCTTTTGTGCAATGCCTGGGTCCTGAAGGACTTAGGTCAGGCAGGATCTTTCTGGCTGTTGGAAGTATTTGGGATGTTTGCTTCCTAAAGGGCACTAAGACTCTTCCTCTGGTGATAGGTGTTTAAATGATGGGCTGCAGTGGGCTGGTGGGGTCTAATTTGTGTCTCCAGATAATTTATTCAGACCCTTCATCCATGTTCACCTGGGGGAAGGGAATCTTTCCAAGGGATTCCTTTGCTAGAGGATGAAGTTGTGGCCAAGGGTTGGTTGGTGGTCTCAGCTCCAATTCTTCTAGAAGCACAGGCTCCATGTCTTGGCTTCTCCCAGGGAAAGAATGAAGATGATTCACTTATTAGTTAATGCTGGAACTCTCTGGAAAGCTTCCTTCTGCTCTAAGATGGCTGCAGGGATGCCTGTCTTTGGAGTCCTGAGAACCCCCAGCAAAAGGGGCTCTGATGACTCATAACTCCTACTGTTGTCAAGGGTGGGGGCGTGAGAGCGTCCTGCTAAAGTGTTTCCCAAACTGCGATTTGTGAATCACTGGTCATATTCCAGGGGCTCCATACATTCTCGATAAGAGTTTCTATAATTAGTACATACATTTGATGATAATCTAAAAAGCAAAACAAATACCAGAGCATCCCAGATGTTCTCCCATGACCTATTAACCAGTTTGGGGGCCCTGATTGTGTTATGATCACATTAATATTTCAAGATCCACCGCCTGTGTGGCAGCTCACACTGGGATCTGCAGATGTAGTCTCAGGGGTCCTCAGGTTATTAAGTCTGACCCACACTGGTCTGTTTCCTCCTCATAATAACTCTTTCGGGTAGGCAGGGCAGGGAGACTGTCACCTCGTTTCACAAACGGGTAGACTGAGGCGTGGAGGGTTGAAGAGTTTTGACAGAGCCCGACATCAATATCGGTCTCCCTCTGCCCACGGCAGAGCGATCAGGTGCTCCGCCTCTGATGCCCTGGACCTGAGGACATGTGGGCCGGCCGTGGGATTCCACACGCCAGTGGGGTGGGGCGAGGTGGGGCCGTATGAGTGAGAGTTGGGGGCTGCTAGGAGGGGAGGCTGGGGTGTTTTGGAAGAGTGGGATTCCCAGCTGTGGGCTGGCTTCTCTCGGGGAGGAAGGTTTCCAGCTGTCTTCTCAGTGCTGTCTTGTTTGAGCTGGGATCCGAGGCTTTGAAGGCTTAAGTGGATTAAAGTAAATTAACAACGTCCTAAGCCTACAAAACGCGTGCACACCCTCAGACTTCTGATGGCTCCTGGAGTGCTGGTGGCTGTCACTGAAGGGAAGGACCAAGCCGGGGACAAAAGGAGCAGATTCTTAGGGCCGTTGTCCTCACATCTGGGCCCCTGTGGCAGCACCTAGGGAAACACTTCCTCTCAGGGGCTTTGCAGGGGGCACTATTGGCCTGGCCAATTCTGGGGGCAGGAACAATGGCAGGAGAGCAGGGCAGTCCCTGTCCCCCACCAGGCGGCTCTGTAATGAACGGGGCACATTGGGTGGGGGAGGGGGCTGGAGGGGCGGGAGCACTTCCGGAGTGCCTGGGTTCCTGGAGAGCATTTTTGATCCTCAGGTAGGAATTGAATGAACCTGGCTTCCCGCTGCACCCTCTTACAGAATGAAGGGATGCCGGCCCTCCTCGTTCTGACAGCGTTGAGTTGTCCTAGCCATTCGCCACGTTTGTATTGGGCCCTGCTTGGTACCAGCCACAGAAGGGGACACCATGGGGTCTCAAAGGCAGATGAGGGTTTCCTTTGAGTACTCGATTATCTCGTACTGTTTGTTAAAGGCCACTGCCTTCCGTCTGTGGGCTCCAATGGCCCTGGACTGGGCTGTGGTCCGGAGAAGTTGCCTCATCCAGCTCAGCACAGCCCCCAGCTGCCACGGCCCACTAGGACGTCGCAGTTCATTTCTGACTGATCCATTGGCCTCCGCCTTGTAGCTGTGCGTTTCCCGCTCCCCCGACACCTGCCCGATCTGTGACTAGCCCCTGAATACCCTAGAGGAGCTGCCAGGGGCAGGCTCTGACTGCCGTTTTTCTGTTGCGAGAGGTTCAATTTTCTCCTGCCGGTTTCTTTTGAGGGTGGCCCACCTGTGTTTCTCTTTGGCCTGCATATTGTCCCATTTCCACAGTGTCACCTTTCCAGGCGGCAGGGAAAAGCCAGCCCGGAGTTAACACTGGCAGTGGTTAATCCACAAGGTGGGTAATTGAATTGACTATAATTAAAATCACAGGAGCGTCATGGAGAATGTCATTTTTCTCTTAAAGTCGCCGTCCAAAGCTTTCACTGCACACGGAGCTCAGAACGTGCTTGGTGTTTTAAAGACAGCCTTCCCTCTGGTCCCCTGTTCAATGAGGCTGGCTCCCTTCCCAAGCCTCCCCCAGGATCGTGGCGCTGTGCCCGGCCACGTCTCTCCTCCTTGCCCCTTCCTCCTTGCCCGTGTGGGTCCCTGGAAGGGGCCCCACCCTCCACGCCCCCACCCACCTCCCCATTGTCATCCCAGCTCCTGCCCAGTTTCCTCTTCTCTCCTGGAGAAAAGGCATGAATGGAGGCTGAGCAGACCAGCGAGGTGGAGTATTTGCTGAGGACCAGTTATGCCACCCCCCCCCTTCAGCTGCCCACAGCTGGAATGCCCCTGTCGGAAGCAAAGGAGGGAATTGAAATGTAACCTGTTTGGTTAAGGAGCACCTGGTCGGATGGGGACAGGCAAAGCCCCCCTAGACACACACAGAAAAGGCTTGAACACATTCAGAGTGACAATAACATACAATGTGAATAGAACAGAAAGGGTAGAGAGAATATGGAACAAAATAAGATCAGGTGGAGAAGTTATAATCTGGGAAGGCTTCTTGGAGGAGGAGGACACTTGGTTTAGTTTCTAAGGTAGTATAATATTTTACTGGGATTTCTGAGAGTGGCTCTGAGGTCAGCTAAAAACCCAGCCCACCAGACGCCAGATCCACCCCCTATGCCTATATTGCCCAGATGCCATCTCGGCTGCGTGGCAATTCTTGTCAACCCATAGTCACCTGCTGGGGGCAGAGGCAGGCCCCAGGGGTTTGCTTCATTTTGCTGCAGAATTTCTTTCTTCTTTTTTTAATCATGCATATCACAGTTTTCTGAAAAACATCCAACTCGAAAAACCTCCAGTTCTCCAGGGAGCGATTAAGTGTTTGCCTGTCGTGCAGAAATGAAGGGCTGCTTTTACTCTGTAGTGGAGGGATAATGAGCAATGATTTATTTTCCTTGGATTACACACACACAGACACACACATACTCACACACACACACACTCTCTCTCTCTCTCTCTCCTATGGGCCTTCTATGAGCCAGTGGCTAAGGTGCTACGGGGAGAAAGCACAGTGCCCCATGTTTCCCCTTCGCCTTCCCCCACCAGGGTGAAAGCTTCTTTGCCCCTCAGCTGTCTCCTTCCTGCTGCCAGTTACCCAGCAGGTACCCTTCTTGCACCCAGCCTTGGGGTGTGGGCTGAGGGAGCGACATCGAGGGCCTGTGGCCCAAGATGGGAGAAGAGGGTCTGCAGCAGGAAGGAGAGGGGGAAGTCCAGAGGCTGTGGGGTCTCCTTTCTGTCCACCCCCCCATCCCTGGGAAAGGCCTTGGCTGGGAAGAGCCTTCCTCGGCCACAGGGGCAGACTCTGACCACCCACCCTCTGGACCTCCCACCTCTGTGGAAACTTGTCTGAAAATCCGATTTCCTCCTTCAATAAGGGAGTTGAGGATTATTCATGTGTTCATTCAGACACAGCTGGGTGCTGGGCTGGATTGGAGGTCCAAGAAGTGAGGTCTTTCCTGGTCCCTGGGGGAAACCAGCAGGCTGGACACCCCGTGGGAGGGGCTAGGATGACAGTCAAGTAGAAGACCTTGGGAGCCCTTGACCTTGGCTTGAGGGAGGCAGGGAAGGCCTCATGGAGGAGGCAGAAACAGGGCTGAACAGGAGTGCAAAGGTTAGCAGGCTCTTATGGGATGGATTTGGGGAAGTGTGCGATGTCTTTGTGGAGTGTGGCTGGAGAGTGTGAGGGAATGTAAAAGATGAGGCATGGTTCCTTCCATTGATCACTAAATAATTGCAGTGCCAGGCATCTGACGTGGGGGGACAGCAGGCCAGAACCCAGTGGCCTTCGCAGGAGTTGCGACTTTTCCTATGGGCCGCTGGGAGCTGAGGAACGGTTCCGAGCTGGAGGGTGACATGACCACACTTGCATTTGAGAAAGATCGCTCTGGTTGCTCTGGGGGAAAGGGACTGGAGGGGCAGGCATGGAAGCCAGGCTGGTTAGGAGGCTGTTGGCAGCGGTCCAGGCAAGAGATGATGGTTGTGTGGATGGGGGTGGGGTACAGAGGGGGAGAAATGAATGGATTTTGGGGATAGTTTGGAGGTAGAACAGGTGTGTATTGATGAGGCTGGTGAGTGCCTGGGGGTGTCCGGGACAATTATAGATGTCCCTTTGTGCATCTGGGGGAAGGGTAGAGCCCTCCTCTGGGGTAGGAAGTGTAGCAGGAGCAGTGACAACACCCCCCTCCTTGCCCCCAGGGCCACACAGAGATGGCAGGTGGCTCTCAGGTGCCTCTGCCCACTTCACGAGGTTCTCACCCGTTCTGTTCTCCCATCTGACGCTGGCTGCCTCTCTCTCCCTAGATCTGAAGCCCTGGGTCTCTAACTTCACCCACCCTGGGGCCCGAGACTTCTCCCAGCTCGCGCTGGATCCCTCCAGAAACCAGCTCATCGTGGGAGCCAGGTAATGAGGCGCAGGAGCTTAGAAGTGGGGGAGGGAGTGTTATTCCAGACGAGCCCACGTCTCATGGGCAGCCCCTCATCCTGGGCCCCCGTCCCTCTGCCAGGCCCTTTCTGTGTGCAAGTGTCTGTCCCCCACAGAAGGAAGCGTGGTAGCTGGGGAGGTCGGGGTGACCCTAGACCTCCCAAGCTCAGCCAGCTGCACACCTCGGTGGCTGGCAGTCAGTGAGAGCAGGGACGCCTGCCTGCCGGCCACCTCCTGGCGCTGTCCCTGCCAGCCGACAAGTCGTGCCTGGTTGGCGAACTCTCCGGGCGCTCAGCGCAGAGAAGGTGCCCAGGAGCCCCCTGCTGGCCGGCAGGCCGCCCGCGCCTGGGGCTGGGGGCACAGGCCACGTGCCTGTTTTATGAAGGACCTCACTTTCCCTGGCCTGACTCCTTTAGCCCACTGTCCAGACACAGTGTTCAGCAAATAATACACTCTAGGGAGGACTTGTGGGAACTTTCTGGGGTGGCCTAGAAGGAGAGATTCCTCACAGAATCATAGCTCATCGGCTCTGGTGGGGAAGGACGCTTAGGTGGCTTAGTCCAGCAGGTCTCCAAGTGTGGTTCCTGGACCGGCAGCCCCAGCAGCCCCCGGCACTTGTTGGAAATGCAGATTCTCGGGTCCACCCTAGACCTCCCGAATCAGAAACTGGAGTAAGGGCCCAGCGACCTGGGTTGAGCAAGCACAGGTGACTCTGATGCACACTCAGGATTGAGACTCCCTGGTCTGATCCAGCTATCTTCATTTAAACCTGCAGGAGAGGCCTGAGCAGGGGAAGGTGACTTTCCCAAGATCACATAGCAAGATGACAACAGAGTATGCAGAAGAGATCCCAGGTCTCCTAACCCTGAGGCTAGGGTTTTTTTCTGCTAGTCTGTGTCATCACCCCTGGCTGCACTGGCATTTTTCTGCTCTGCACCCCAGAGGTTCTGACCCAGCGGGTCTGGGGTTGGAGAAGGTGGCCGCTGGGCTGGGCACTTCCAGGCTACACTGTAGCTGACCATCCTTGCCCTTCAGGCTTTTCTTAGTGTCTCCACCCTGTCTTTGCTATATGAAAAGGAGGCAGGTCAAGAACAGAGCTTTAGACCTGGTGCGGTGGCTCACGCCTGTAATCCTAGCACTCTGGGAGGCCGAGGCAGGCAGATTGCTCGAGGTCAGGAGTTCGAAACCAGCCTGAGCAAGAGTGAGACCCCCGTCTCTACTATAAACAGAAAGAAATTAATTGGCCAACTAATATATATAGAAAAAATTAGCCAGGCATGGTGGCGCATGCCTGTAGTCCCAGCTACTAGGGAGGCTGAGGCAGTAGGATCACTTGAGCCCAGGAGTTTGAGGTTGCTGTGAGCTAGGCTGACGCACTCACTCTAGCCTAGGCAACAAAGTAAGACTCTGTCTCAAAAAAAAAAAAAAAAAAGAGCTCTGGACTAGGACCTGGTGAGCCAGATTCTCATCCCAGCTGATCTTGACCTTTGAGCCTCAGTTTCCTCATCTATAGAGACTAGGTTACAGTCTCTGCTGCCATTCCCGCACGGCTGTTATAAAGCTGGGGCTAAAAGCATTTTGTTTTCACTTTTAAAGTTTTTAATTAACTAATTATTTTATATCAATATTATGTGTTATGGTATGTCATTCAAAAGGCGCAAAAATGTATACAGTGAAAAGCAGGGCCACCCCCTCACACGAGCAGGACCCCTCCCTGGAGACGTGCCCTGTGGTGAGGTTCTTGTCTGCCCTCCCAGGGGTAATCTGTACATATGCACGTATATAACCATGTGGACTCTACTTTCCCAGCAGAGAGTAATTGTTTTACTTCCTATTTCCAGATGATTGTAGATTCACACGCAGTTGTAAGAAATAAATACAGAGAGAGCCTATATTCTCCTCACCCAGTTTCCCCCAATGCTAACATCTAACATAAGTATAGGACAACATTACAATCAGGAAATTGGCATTGATGCAATCCTTCCACCTAATTCTGACTTCACTGGTTTTACATGTGTACATTTTTAAAGACCCAAATGGTAGTGTCTGAAGACTCCACTCTGAACCTTGCGAAAGCATTTTGAAAGCTGCCATTCATTCTGTGCCTGCCATGTGCCAGGCACTATTTTATGTACCATGAATGCAGTAGATCAGACAATGCGTATAGTAAATGTCATAAATCACACATGTATTAAATAATCTAATACACACAGTGAATCGTGCATGCAGTAATTCATCTCATCTTCGCAATAACCCCAGGAGGTGGGTTCTGTGATCACCCTCACTTAGTGGACTGGGGCACCGAAGCTTGGAGAGGTTAAGTCACCCTATGACGGTGGTCACACTGCTCTTCCTCTCTCTAAGTTGCTTTCTTTCCTCCTTCTCTTCTGCCTGACATTTTCTTCCCTTCTTCCTGACCTCTGGAATTTAGGCTAGGGAAATTTTTTATTCATTCATAACCCTGCCTTGTTCCGTAAGGGATTTAGGGTGGGTCAGGCTACAGAGATTTCTCTCTGATCTCATACCCCAGCTCCCAGAAGAGCTGACTGCAATGTTGTGATGAATGATTTTTGATGGGATAAAAATGAATAAAGTGATGCAATGTTTCCCCTAATTTTTTAAAGCTGTGAGCAGATGCCTGTGTTACCTGAGCAGACGGCTGGGGCAGAGCTATAACCTGGAGCTCATCCGTCCCCAGGCCAGGAGGGTGGGGCTGCGGGAAACTGTGCTAAGGACCTGGGGAGAGGACTGGGGAGGGACAGCAGAGGCCTGGAGCCAAGGTCACCCAGTGAGGCCCTCCCAGCCCCAGGAAAGCAAAGAGGCTGAGTGGGGCGTGGGCCCGGAACCAGAGCTGGAAGAGAATCTCCCTGCCTGAATTATCTCCCTCCGGCCCAGCATTCATTCAGCAGGGCCCCTCCCCTCTTTCTGGCCCACTCCACGACCTTCTCGGCACAGCTGGGGTAGGCCAGAACTTTCTAAAGTAATTATTCCTAAAAAGTTCAGGAACCTAGAGAGGAATTGCCAAAAGAGGATAGAAGAAGGAAAGAAAGAAAATTCTGGGACCAGGCGTGGTGGCTCATGCCTATAATCCCGCCGCTTTGGGAGGCCAGGGTGGGGAGGGTGGCTTGAGCCCAGGAGTCTGAGTTACAGTGAGCTGTGATGGCGCCACTATATTCTAGCCTGGATGTGAAAAAAAGATAGTTCTTAGGAAAAACCAAGATTTTTACATCTGCTCGACATTAGTAATGTCTTTTAATATGCATCACACTCCTCTGTGTCCATGGTCCTGAAATAAGAAAGACAGGCATTGGCTTCTCTGTTTTATGGATGCGGGCACTGAGCCTCTCAGAAGGACCCAGCTGGCGGCTGAGCTGGGATTCTCTCTGTCTCTGCCACAGGGTGGGTTCTGCGAACCTGAAGTCATTGTCCTATGACACTGACCCAGTGGTTCTGCCACCCTTGTGACTCACAAGTCACCCTTGTGACTCTGAGTCCATGTGTGGTGGCCTCTGGCTCCGGAGCCCATGCAAAGCAATTGCAGCAGCACCTGGCACTTATGTGTGCTCAATGAGTGTCTGACTGATATTTATTATTATTATTATTATTATTATTATTATTATTATTATTGAAGGGTCTTGAGCAGCAGCCTGATAAGATGAAAGCAGTGTTTGAGCAAGCTGTGTCTGGCAGCCTGCAGGGTGGACTGTGGAGAGAGGGATGTGAGGAGGCAGATGGGGTCACTCGGGCTAGAGGAGACAGGCTGGTCCAGGAAGAGGCCATGGAAAGGTCAGATCCAGAGTCACTGACTATAGGAAGGACTGCAGGACACAAGGAAGCAAAAGGCACTCAGCAGCCCAGGGCATGGAGCCAGGAGAGACAGCCGGCCTGTGTGAGGACGGGCTGTCCAGGTGGCAGGCCAGGGAAGGAGGAAGCTGGCCTGTCTGAGTCTCTGCAAGGGTGCTGTGGAGCTTTAACAGAAACAGGCTGCAGAGCTGCAAAAGGTGGGGTCAGGGGGTTCCTCCAAGGGCCTGCTGGGTCAGCTGGGAGCAGAGCCAGCACGGGACTTCCTCACCTGTAAAATGGAGTTTCCTGCATTCCCTCCCAGGGTTGTGTGAAGATGAAATGAGCGAGTGCAGGTAAGGCTCCCCATGGGGGGTTGGCCTTCTGCAATCGGCACCCAGTCCTGGCACCCCAGGAGGCCCGAGCCAGCAGGCTGCTTCTGGGGGTCCTGCCTGCAGAACCAGCTTGACTTCTGATTTCTGTCTTCACAGGAACTACCTCTTCAGACTCAGCCTTGCCAATGTGTCCCTCCTCCAGGTACGTTTGCTGCTTCCCTTCCCTTCCTGTAGCTTCGGGGATCTAGGAGCCCCAGCGGGGCCCCACAAGTAGGGAGATTTAGAACTCAGCTCCTAGGATGGAAAACAGGAGCCACGTGCTCTTTTCCCTGGCCGTGGACTTGGACCCTGGCTGTCAGGGTAACTGCTGGGAAGATACCTGCAAGTGGGGAGCAGCCCCACATGCATGGAGACGCACACAGGGCTCTTGCAGCATGCAGGGCAGCTGCTGATGAGGAAGGGAGCACCAGGCTGGGGCGAACGGCTGTCCCTGTTTGCATGGGACTAAGGGGCTCCCCCGGGTGCAAAACTTTCAGTGCTAAAACTAGGTCAATACTGGGCAAACTGGGATGGTTGGTCATTCTAAGCCCAGAGCCTATTTCCACAAGAATAGGGGGTGGTCTTTGAGTTTGGGCCTCCAGGAAAAGGGTGTTCCTGATTCTTTCCCCACCCGCCCTAGTGATCCTATTCTAAGTCAGCATTTTCATTGAGCTGTGATTGATTTATTATCTGCTGCTAAGAAGGACTCCCCAAGCATAATTCTCTAAGTGCTCGGAGAGGCGTTTTAATGGGACTCCTTGATCCAGAACATTTATCCCAGATTGAGAAACAGATGCCAAACCATTTCTGCAGAGGCTGAATGTTCTAGAAAGGAAGGCCATCTCTTCTTCAGTGCGGGGAGAGCCCCAATTCTCATGTCTGGGAGGCTTCTTGGTCCCCCAGTGATCAAGCATTCATTGAACACTTACTGTGTACCAGAACCGAGCTGAGACTTAAGAACCATAAGAAAAGCAGAGCAACGTCTGCCCTCCAGGAAGCGTGATGAGCGAGGCACGTAACCTAATTAGGAATTAGGAATAATCGGGTGCGAGGCTGTTTGATACAGAATTTCCCTGCAACATGAAGTTAGGGAAGGGGAGAGCTCCTTGAGGAGCTGGTGCAACATGCTACATCTGGGTCCACACTCCTGGGGGCCATTGCAGCTCTTGGCTGGTTGCTAGAGAGGAAGTATAAGGGAGAGAATTGCTGTGCTCACTGGAAGGGAAGGGTTGGGAGGGATTAGGGCAAGTTGAAAAGAAATGCCATTCATTGATATCTGTCCATCTCTCCTTCCATCCATACCTTCACCAGCCAGCCTGCCCAGCCACACACACAATAAACAGTTACTGAACACCTACTGAAGGCCAGGCCCAGTCCTAGGCGTGGTACTAGGTATTTGAGTTCCACCAGAACCCATTCCCTTGCCTCAAGGAACATGCACATAGGAGGTCACATATGCCTCCCTTTCCTGGAAGGGGACAGGGCACATGTTCCTGGGATCCAGGCGGGAGCGAGCCAGGGGAAGTTCCCAGCAGCAGCCTCCTGAGGCCTGCCAGCTCGGTCACAAGCAGCCAGTCCAGAGCCTAGTTTCCAACTGGCATCCACAGAAAATGAAGCTAGGGTACCAAACCCAGCAGGTCAGGGCCTAGGGCAGCAGTGCAGTGGGGATTCAAAGTGGGTGTGGGGGAGTAGACCCAGGGGTCCTGCCCTGAGCTCCAGGTAGTTGGCTTTTTATTGGGTTCCCATGGTCTGCAGACAAAGGTCTGCTGGGAGGGTAAAGTGGCCGAAGGGAGGAAGAGAGACAGATGCACGGGGTTAGTGGCAGTGCTGTGGGAAGCACAGGGAAGGGGTGGTCTATAGGCATGAGGACTCCTCTGGGCCCAGCAAGGTCTGCAAAGCCTTCCTAGAAGAGCTACCCTTTAGCTGGAGCTCAAAGGATATGTTTGCCACGCAGAGAACAAAGGTGTGAAATAGCACGCAGGATGGAAGGGCAGGACCAGGGGGCATGAATGGGGTGAGAGTGGGAGACCCAGGAGAGAGGCCACATTGCAGGAGGTCTTCCTTACTGAGCTGAGGGGTCCACATTTTGTTTCAAAGGTCATGGGGATCCACTAATGTGTTTTAAGCAGAGAAGCAGCATGACCAGATTTGGTGTTTGACTTACCTGGCCCAGTGCAGCACCTGGATCAGTGGAGGAGCCAGTCAGGAGCAAGCTGCAATTGTCTAGGCCAGTGCTGGGAGAACTGAAGGAGGGCAGCAGCGGTGGGGATGGAGAGAAGACAGAGGAAGGGTTCTCAAGGTGGCAGGATCACACAGGGCCACAGCATCTCACGATTCCAGGGAGCTCCAGGCACACTGCCTTCTGTATGCAAGTGACCCTGGGTGTTGGGGAAGTTGGCAGCCCTGGAGGATTTAGTGATGCTTGGGCCACAGTGGTGACGTCTAAGTTTCTGGCTTGCACAGCTGGGTACCATGAATCAGGATGGGAATGGGGCAGTCTGACCCTAGGCCTCTGGTTCCCCCTTGGCTACACACTGGAATATTCCATCAGAGGGGCTTTAACCCACACTGGTGCCCGGGTCCCCCTCAGAGATTCTGACTGAATTGCTCATGGGTGCAGCCGGGACACTGGGATTGTTAAAAGCTCCCAGGTGATTTCAATGTACAGCTAAATTTAGGAACCATTGCTCTCAAAGTCAAGATTGTTCCTGTAGATGCTGCCCAGCTGGTTTGGGCCGCCCAGGCCTCCCTGACAGCTGGCCCATAGGTCACAGGTCATATACCTTACCTTAGGACTGTTAGGGCCCTGAGCTTGGTGACTGAGTCCTAGGGTTTGAGTCCCAGCTCAGTGTTGATCTGGCCCCAGCTAGGGGAGGAATCCTACGGCAGCCCGTAGCTCGTGCTTGGGCTAGGGTCCGCTTCGGGGACATTCCCTGAAGAGCCCTGCAAACCAGCCCCAATAGCACCAGGAACTGGTTTGAGCACCTTCCCCAGGTGTCTTTTTAGGGGCTTGACTTCAGGATTTCAGACTGAATTCACTGTGGCAGAGCTAGAAAAGTAGATATATTCTATGCCTCTTCCCATCCTAGGGGGTAGCGTCTGTCCACAGAGGGAAAGAACAAGCAAGAGTCTGGGGCAGACCTTGGCCTTGGCGCTCATTGCTGGGTCTTCTGGCTTGTTGACTGGCCTGGTGAGAAAGCCCTGACTTTTACTGTAAAATCCTGACTCCAGTGAGCGCCCTGCCATTGCCCTGTCAGGGGGCTTCAGGTCCCCGTGTATAAGCTTTCAGTCCTCAGCGTTTGCTGTCACAAGTGGTCACCAGCAACCAAGTGCTAAAGACGAGCTGCCCCACTTTACTGACAAGGGGAGGCAGGGACAAGGCCCCCCAGCTCAGCTTTCTTTACTTTCCTTGGGGCCTGGGGCTACACTTTGGTTATAAAACACCCCACAATGCAGCCAACTGATCCTCCCACTTGGCCTCAGGCATGATTTAAGTAAACTTAAAACTCAGTGCATTATTGATAGTTTAAATAATTAACATTCCATAAAGAAAAATCTAAATGCAAACAGTTCGCAAAACAGGGTCCATTAAGGGATCCCTAAGTACCTAACCCCTATTAAACAATTGATGTAAACTACTGTTCCTTAAAGAAAATCGAATACCCAGATGCCTCCCAATTCTCCAAGCAGTGGAGTGAGAGGAGGTGCGGCCAGCAGCTCATGGGGCGGGGGCTGTGTTGGGGTGCATGGGCAAAATCAATCAGCTCACATCAGCTCACCTGTGATAGTTATTTATCATGTAACTTCAAACACCAGTCTTGGGAAAGAAGAGGCCAGTGATCAGCAGTGGCGGGGATGCTTGGGGGCAGTAGGGGGTGCTGCTGAGAGGACCAGCGTGATGAGCCACCTTGGATTTGGCAATTAGGAGCTCATGAGTGACCTTTGCCAGAACAGTTCCAGGGCGGCTGGAGGCCTAATTGCAATAGATTTATGATCTTGGGTTGCCAGATGTCCTGTGAAGCAGAAATGAAGACTGTTCTGCACACGTGTATCAGGACGCATAATGGGGCTTTGTCTGGGGCTGGGCAGACACCGAGGGCCATTTCTGAGTTCCCTTCCAGCTCTTTCCATGTCCTCCAAGCTCCAATGTGGCAGCCCCAGAGTGGTTTGAAAATTACACTCTGCTGAGTGGTGGGCTTAATGCTCATCCATCACCGCTGGCTCCCACGCGTCCAGAGCAGTTGCTGAGTCCACACAAGCAAGTGTCCCGCCTGCTCCCTCCCACGGCACGAAAGCCGCGCAGCTCCTCTGTTACTAGAGAGCACCGTCCTGGAATTTCTGGGACAGCCCTCGTTTAAAGCATTCAGTGTGCTGCATTGATCAGACATGTCTATCTCCACTCCTCCGCAAAACCCCACTAAAGAGAGTGAGAAATTTTAAAAAGTACACATCCACAATGACAGAGAGAACAAAAGAGATGTCAGTGGAGAAGAGATTACACACATTCTGGGGAGATGGAAGGCGGACGGAGCAATCTGACTGACTTAGAGCAGAACTGCTTACAGAGGGGAGTGTGGCACCTGGCGCCCCAGAAGGGTCCAGAATTGGGTGTCAGGTATTGTGGAATGTGAGGGTGAATTACAAGGATGAAGGGGGCATTGATTGAAATTCTCTAAATTGAGAGATTGGAATCCAGGTCTCCCATCCCGAATAGCAGCTCTTTCTTCCCCCTCCCCCCTCCCCCAACAAAGGAGACTGAGGCCCTTTCTCCAGATACTCACCTAGAAGGGCTCCAAATTTAGGGACTCCAGGAAAAGCAAAGGGCACTGATGGGCGGTGGGGCTACAACAAAGAGATCAAGTGCAAGTCTGCTTTCCCCTCCACCCCTCCCAGGCACCATATTGGAGGAGTCTTTGCTGGAGAAAAAGACTCCAGAGACTTCTAAGTATGCCATGGAGGCTCTCCCAGGGAGAAAGCCACCTTACCCAGCACGCTGAGAGAAGCCCTCCAGTGTATACAAGCCCTACCCATGGACTTTCCGATAAGTCCTCTACCACTTTACTTCTCAAGCAAGCCAGCAAATACACTTTTTTTATCATATAAAATTTCATATGGCCATGAAAGTAGAGAGAATAGGACATGAACCCATTGTGCTCAATACCA